TTGTTTCGGGCCGGCCGAAACCCCCAGTTAATCCGAACCGTCCATCGCGCGATCAACGGCGGAAATAGAAGATACCTTCTTCGGGGTAAATTTGCTAAAGAGTCCTCGGATTTTCTAAGTCCTAACCCGCCGTCCTTAGCGTATTTCCCGAATGCGCAATCCCGTTTAGAAAGCGTAAACTTCACTTTGTTTAAGTCAAAAGTACGCTTTCAAAGATTTACGTAAATGCCATTGAACTGCTTTCGCTTATAGAATTGTCGTTTTAACTCCGAATTGATCCATTCAAATTGCGTTAGCTTCGTAATTTCATAAGCTACATGTTGGAGCTACTGTTAGTCAAGTTTGGAACTTTTTAATTTCATGATTAGAATTAATTAAATATAGGGCTACTTGGAAAACCCGCTTTTAATCATAACTTTAGATTTTAGCTCCGTTTCTCGTGAACTTCGCGTTGACGTGATCGAGAGAAACGTAGATTAGTTTTACAAACATTTTATTTTGATTTCAATACTGTTGGTGTACTGTTCTAATGATAGGAATGTTTGCTTTGCATGAATGCTTTTGGAATGTTGTATGTTGCCATGTTGGTCGCGTTCGTGACGGTGAGGAAAACGTTGGAGACCAAGAACTCTCGACGACCAGCAGGAAAAAGACGAGTTTGTGAACCAAGGCAAGTATAACATGGGCCTTCCTTGATGTCCTATTTCACTTTAATCAATTACTCATTTGCATGTGTCTAATTTTGATACCCGTAAGGACATCCTAGTGATTGTTTATCCTGTTCCTTGTATCCTATGGGTTAAATGCATATGGGTAGATTGCTAGTGCTCTAACCGAACTTGATATACTTGCGATGAATGATACTATGGAACAAAGTGAGTAACATGATTTATAACAACTGTTCCATAGGGCTAAAGGGCAAATGACCTTTGTTCATGTTGCTTAGGCCCTCCATAAGGACTTATATCTCGGCAAAAATTTGGGACCGATAAAGGCAACCGGGAGAGTCATATGGCTCGACTTTAGCTCAAGAATAGGACCTTTTCTAGCTAGTTAGAGGTTACCTTTTTGGCGCAAATGGGGCTTGCCACGTTGGGTATAGGACCGCCTGTTCCTATGTGTATAGTGCGATGGATATGTGCCATAGGAAAGGGGGTTCCTACATCCGCCGCCAAGGAAACCTAGCGGCCCTAACTTGTTAGGGAAACCTATGAAATGGCTTCATAGTGTACCGCCCGCTCACCTTGGAAGTGACATGGGAGTAATTAACCCGGGCATATGGGGATCACGACTCATGGTGAATGTGCACCACCTCTGCAGAGGGTAACAAATCATTATAACAGCCGTGCTCACGGTTATGAGCTGCCCGGAAAACTCATGAATAACTGGATACTTGATGATGATCTTATAAAGTTGTTTAGTGATGATATATGGTACATATGACTCGATATATGTTCTTATGGGAATTAAATGGGAGCTTAAGCATAACTTGATAATACTTGAGAATAAAAGCTTGACCTAATAAAAATGCTAACTCGCAGAAACCGTAGTCTAACCTTTTTGAGCTTCATAACCCCATGTTAGCTTGCTAAGTACGGAATGTACTTACACTTGTTTATTTTCTTTACTTGGATAAAAATCCCGGATGGGTAATGAGATAACAACGGGTATGAGGATTTCCGGAGGATTATTAGGCTTGTGGTCAACCAGTTGACCTTCCCCTGTGAAGACGACCCACGAGAGTTTTATCATCTTTTTATTATTCCGCTGTGATGTATAAGACTAAGTTTTATTATAACTCTGATGTATGAGACACCGTGATGATACTTTATGTAATTTGTCAGCTTGTGTGTGTGATTGATTCCTGGGCACACACGAGTTTTGTGCATTCAATTTTATCCTTAAAATTGGGTGTGACACACGGCCTCTCCCCAGTAGACCATCGGCATGCCATGCTGTTTGAGGAGTGCACGCGCTGCTATCACCACCGTCTGATTGCGGTGCTCGACCACGCCGTTCTACTGCGGTGAGTAGGGCACGAAGTAGTGGTGCTGAATCCCCTCGTCGACACGCAGTACGCCGCGAACTCAGTTGTCGTGAATTCGCCGCCGTTGTCCGTGTGGAGCACCCAGAGCTTGCGGCCGCACTCCTTCTCCGTGGCTACCTGGTGGCGCTTGATGGCGTCTGCAGCTGCCGCCTTGGAATCGAGTAGCACGACCCACATATAGCAGGTGGCGTCGTCGACGAGCAGTAGGAAATAGCGCTGACCCTAGGAGTGGTCGGTGACACTTGACCGCGGAGGTCGTCGTGCACTAGCTCAAGCTGCTCGGTGGCGCGGTAGAAGGCTTGATGCGGGAAGGGCTAGCGCTTCAGCTTGGTCACCACAAGTTGTCGTAGAGCTTCTCGATGTGGTCAACGCAGGGCATGCCACGGACCATCTCCTTCTTGCCGAGTTGCTTTAGGGCTTCGAAGTGAAGGTGCCCGAAGCACTCATGCCAGCGCCACGCCTCATCATCCCGGCGCACGGCAAGGCAGAGGGGTTGCACCACCTGTACATGAGCACATAAAGGCGGTTGCTTCCCCGGTTCACCTTGACGAGAAGACGGCGGCCTCTATCCCGATGCGTAGCATGCCATCCTCAATCTCCACCCGCAAGCCGTTCTCGTCCAACTACCCGACGCTAATGATGGAGTCTTCAAGGCCGGGATGTAGTACACCTTGGTGAGAAGATGGTGCTCCCCGTCTTGGCCTTGAAGATGACTGAGCCGATGCCCTTGATCTCGATGACGGAGGCATCATCGAACTTGACGGAGCCCTTCACGTCGGAGTCCAGGTCGGAGAAGAACTCGCGCCGACCAGTCATGTGGTGCGTCGCACCGGTGTCGAGGTACCAGCCGTCGATCTTGTCATCGGTGGCACCTTTACCAAGGAAGGGGTGGACGCGCGGTTCGTTGAGGTGGAGCTCGGTGGAGCCAGCCGACCCAGAAAGGGGAAAGCTTAGACCTTTCACCCCCTCCCCTGTGTCTTGCTGTAGCTCGACGCACTTATGCGCCAGGAACAGGGTGGCATCCTACTCCTCTGCTTGCGCGACGTGAGCCTACCCACCGTGGCATGGAGGAAGGCGGCAGTCCTTGGCCTAGTGGCCAGTCCTGCCACAATTGTTGCAGGTGTCATCTCAAGTCCCCTTGCGCTCCCACGCCAGCTTTGCCGTAGCCTTGTTGGCGAGGGATGTGCCGAGCTCGGTGGGGATGGCGGGGCACAATGCCTCTAGCGCCAGGCGATCGTCATCGTAGTCGACGCCGCCGATGTGAACTGCCTCCCACAGCCGCCGGCCCTACAGCTTGACCTTCATCAGCAGGCTCCACTCGTGGTAGTTCAGCTTTGAGCATCGGCCACGGCGTTCCCGCTCCAGAGTCGCGGTAGACCGTCTGCAGCACTGGGGAGCGGCCGCGCCGACTACGACGCCGCTCTATTGACGGCTACTGGCGGCGACGCCCGACCGGGCTACGTGATCCTCTAGCTGGCTCCGGCTTTCGCTCCATCTCGGCGTGCGGTGCTGCGGCCATGGCTACCGAGGCCTGGGCAGCAGCCGCCGCCTGCTTGGCCATCTCGGCCGCCGTCGCAGCGGCTGCCTCTGCTCGGTGGACATGGCGCTCGCTCACTCAAGAACCCTCTCGGCTCTGATACCAGATTGTTGGCCCGATTGGATCTCAGATTTAGATCTAGAATTATCAGAGGACAGCTTGGCCCTTCACCACTTGGATTGAATGGAAATGCAATAGCTTATTTTTACAATGACACTCTTTTCCTTTATAGACAAAGATGACTCCCACTTGCTAGATTATATTCTAACTACTAAAGTAGATGCTGAGCATATTACTAACACTAACTTGTAAGCCAAGGAAAATAAAAGTAAAAAAAAAGAAGATGCAAGTGCTTTAATACTAGACTTATCTATACTACACTAGTTCGATAGTTACTTTTTCTTGAGATTTCTTTCTTTCCAAGAAGCTAACCGTTAAGATACACGCACCTCTTCCTAGAATTTTAGGAGTTGCTTGGTTATTACATCGAATTCTGACAACGCGGCTTGCGTAAACTGGTCGCTTTGCTGTAACGAAGTAGCCATATATCTAAAGATATGCAGCCTGTTCGCTTGCTCGTAAACGATCGTAAATTTCCAGCCGGGAACAGTGTTTTTCTCTCACACTAAACCAGCCAGCAGTAAATAATCCACGATACGATACGGCCTCCCGAACAGGCTGATGATTTGGTGTGGCCACGGCGCGGCCTTAGGGTGGCCACGGCGCCGTCTTTTCGCGGCCGTTCGATCGGCCGCGCGGACGGCCCAGATCGGGCGAGCCGCGGCCGTTTTACGAAAAACCCCTTTAAGTTTTCGGAAATCAACCCGCGCTCCAGACGCCCTCTCAGAATTTTTTACAAAAAACGCCTCGTATTATTTTCAAATCAACGCTCAGTCCAGACCGGATGGGCACTGGTTTGTTTGCAAAAAAGACCTCCACTTTAGCGAAAATCAACTCGCGCTTCCAGACACTCTCGCCGTTTTTTTGCGAAAACATCCTCATATTTTTCTCAAATCAAAATACAGCCCAACTTTGATTATATCTTTTTTTCCTCCAAAAAATACACGTGGCCAGTGGACCACGCGCATGGGCGCGCCCGAAAAACTAGTATACATATTAATCACAACAGAACAGCACAAAATCGCATTGCTCTCAGTCTCCGGTATGTATCCTGGGATAATATGTACAGGACATTCTTGTGATGCTGTTTAGTTACAATCATAGATAGACAGACCATCGTGCCATTATTCCAATTTCCAACACTTAACGCTGTATGACAGTGTCGCCTTTAGGAAAAGGTCATGCTAAAAAAACTCAATCGGCTTCGCTGGTTGGTTTCTGGACTGGTTTAGACTGACTGGTGCTGGTTTATTGTGAGAGAAAAATACTATTGACTGGCTGAAACCAACAAGCGGGTCAGAGTTTCAGCTGCCCCATATCTCTCCTGTCACTTGTAGTGCCCTCGTACGCCTGCTGCGTGTGGTCTGGATCCCTCCTTAGGGTGGAACTTGCTTCCTCGGACTCGGAGCAGCCTGGCCTCTCGGTAAGGAACTGCTCCCAGAACTTGTCGTTCGCCACCACCTGGGGAGCTGCATGTTCTTCAGGGGGAGGAGCTTGGCTGCCCCCATGCGGCCTACCCATTGCATCTGCTCCTGCTGCGGCCCCAGGGTCACCTGAAGCCTCATTCTGGGTATCATCATGGCATCTGTCAGGAATGCCACCGTCCTTCTCCATGGTGGGTGTGGTCACCTCCGCTGGGCCGTCCTTCTCATCCACAGTGTTCCCGTTTGCAACGGGGATTTGGCTTCTGCCCACATCCATTGAGCATGATGCAAGACTGAGGTTGAGGTGGCATGGCAAGAACCCATCGTCATTTGCAGCAGCTGTTGTGAAGCTCACACTCTTTGAGGGACAGATGGATGTCCCAGTGTCAGAGCGCTCCATCATCTGCGGCACCAGTGGAAGGCACTCCATGCCTGTTCTCTCGTAGTCTGGATGCTTTCCGTGAGGGCTTCCGTTATCTTCATGTGAGCTTTGGGTGCTCAGGGTGATGAGGTTGTTTTCCGTCGTTGCAGGACAGAGTCCAAGCTTCAGCTTGTCAGAGAAGTGCTGATTTAGAAGGTTGCCCATTTCTTGCCTGGAAGTGCTGCTATGGTCATCGAAAAAAGCTAGTGGCAGTTTCGGTGGCCTCGGTGATGTATTCAAGTCCAGGTAGCCTTCGCTTCTTGTGAAATGCATCCGCGAAGATTGGGGATGCCTCTGCCATCTTAACGAGCTTGCTGACAAACTGAGGGTTCTTCTGAGCCTGCTGCAAGAAGCTAAGCATCTTCGTCTGTCGCTGCTCCATGTCAAGCACTCGCCGCTCAAGATCTTCAATCTGGCTCACAGCCCCTGACTGCTGCTGATTGAATTTCCAGAGGTCAGCCTCGACGGCAGCTTTCTCCCGTGAAAGCCGGTCAATCTCATCCTCAAATAAAGCACGCTCATTGTCAGGCAGGGCACCTGGTTGATGGCCGTGGCTGTGGATGGGTTTTCGCCTGTGGATATTCTTCAGCAGGTGCTTCTGTCCCTTGACAAAGTACTCATTAGCAAATTCCCAGCGCTCTGGGTCTATTTTACGAAAACCCTGCAACATTAACATTTTCTTAGAGGGTTTTCATCAGTTTAGAGAATCAAAATAGTTAAATAGATGTATCCCTTCTTCAGGATTTAATTAAATGTCAAAAGTACAGTTCTTTCCTAAACAGTTCTACTGTTACAAGTCAACAAAGATACACAAAAGCAAGCAAGCATCATGCAACAGCATATAATATTGAAGTAATCCAAGTTTCTTTAAGGACTGCAACAAGCACAGAAAAAAGTATTAGGAAAAAAGTGTTATATTTGGACCTTAATAGGATGAAAAGTTTAGATATGCTTATTACCTCACTAGAAGAAGAAAAATGACTAATATCTACACTATCCTCTACAGTTAACACTAGTAATTCGCTTCAAACATGTAGAGCCGGTTCAACACACAAGGGAATGGAAGTTCAAACATGGTCCTAATACCGGAATTGACCGCAGGGAAATCACAGGTGGACTAGAGTAGAACATAGCAGTGGGAGTACAGTGATTTCTTTCTATCTTTTTGTCATCCATTTTCCATACGTTTTCGCTTTGAAAATATTGAAATAACAAAAGAAAACACCAACCCGAATTTTACCAAGATTGGACCTGTAATAGTTACCACTTATCAGCAGTTTCCCAGCTCCCGGTGAAGATCTAGAAAACAGAAATCCTGAAACTAGAATCCCGAGTCCATATTGCCATTTTTTCTATACGCTAAGAACATATCTGACCCTTCATGTTCTCAAGAGATCCATAGGATCCAAAAGAAATGACTTGTGCTTAGATACAACATAGAGGTGTGAACTATAATACTAAACCAACAGTAGAATTAATAACCAAATAGAGGCAACAGCACAGAATTCAAATGCAGACCCCCGCTACTGAACTGAACTACAATTTATATTGATTATAAATGAAATGAGCGTCTGCGTCTGTACTTGTGTAATTCGCAAAAAAAAAGGAAATTAGAAAGGTGGACCTAATAAAAAAACATGGTTGACAAAATAATCAACAGAACCATAGATTTTGGATCATCAAGATCAATCCTGATCCAATCCATGACACTACAGAGGCAGAAGATCTTAAACATCTAACTAATATAGATGCATTCACAAACTATGAATTTCATGATTTTAATATCTCAGATTATTAATGCCATAAGAACTCCCTCATTTGCACCAAATAGTGAGCACACCAATCAACACCAGAACTAAGTTCCGCCCTCCACTTTTCTGATACTACAAAAGGATTATCTTCAAATATGACTGTCAAATCAAGTCGATACTCATTGTCAATGAGAGCTTCCTTAAGAAATTTTCAATGTTCGGAACATAAAAGTGAATTAGTAATTATGGAAAGCATGACATAATGCAATTTTTTCAATACATTAAAATGCATTAAGCTTAAGTTGACCTAGACCTTACCAATCACCTGAACATTAGATTGATTTAAATATACATAATGTTATCTAAATTGTCACTACCCTAGCATATTTGGGCTAATCTTTAAAAAAAATTGCACTGTTGTAGCCTTGAAGGATGATACTGAGGCTACAAATCAACCCTATTTACTGCATTGTGAACACCAAACTTCACATCCACTGATCATAATAAGTAGTGTTTACAACTCAAAAGAGCACTTTTACACAATTACACTAGCACCACCGGAAACTAAGAAATATTTAAATTGTAAGCTTAAAACAAAAATCAGAAAAAAAACTCAACCATTAGGATCAACCATAAGACTAGTACTTAGCCAATGGAACCATGACAAGTGGAACTCAGTCCCAGTTCTGCTTCCTGAATGCGGTTGGCTCCAATTCTTAGCCTCGAGCTACATTAGAACAGCAGCACACGGCCACACAAACCCATATAATGTGTTTGGACTTTGGAGAACATGTTGAGTTTTCGGTTTCCCAGCATTTATTTTTGGCACAATTCTAAGTTTCCAATCAATCAAATCTACCAGAAAACAGAAACCCACGTACTAACAGTTCGGCAAAGGGGCACAAACATTTCCGCACCTAGAACCGTTGACACTGAAATTAAGGCCCCTCTAAGCCCAAATCAGTGAATCACGACGCAAAATTCCCCATAACGAAACAGCACAAATTTCACCTTAACTCCAACCAAAGGAGGGCGATCCCTTGCACCCGCGCAACCTTAACGCCCAAATCCCCCACCACTCCAACCAAAGGAGTGCGCCGGATCCCCAACCCGAGCAGCGCATCGTATACAAGAGCAGGATAGGGCAGAGCAGGGAGGTGGGGCGCCGTTGTTACGCACGTATGTGTTGAGCTGGCGGATGAAGCTGGAGAAGTTGTTGTGCTTGAAGTAAGTGGGCAGCATCCGCGCGGCGAACTCGGGCGGGTTCCAGACGACGAAGCTCCCGTCGGAGGCGTCGCTCCACGACACCACCGCGTCGCTCGACGGGTCGTCCACCATCTCGTACGTCTTCAGCAGGAACGGGGCCGGTCCGCCACCGCCACTGCCACCACCTCCTCCTCCGCTGCCAGCCCCGCGAGCGGCGGCGACCTCCATGACGGGTGATGCGGCAGCGCGTGGTTGTGCGAGCGGGGCTGTCTGGGCGAGGGCGAAGGGGGAGTTCGGTGGGGGAGTGGGGAACGAAGTTTCCTCGTCGCGGGTGGGGTATGTTTTGGTTTTGTTTGGTTTCGTCACGAGACTACAATTTATTATACTATCGGCAGCACAAACACGGTGAAACAAGAGCCCGCACGAACAAAGTAGGCATGACAAGGCAGCTTCAACTGGTAACACGACGACCATAATAACGCTCTCGTGCGGTGTCGCCAGCCACGGCCATGCAGCATAGTGGCCCCACCATGCAGATCTAACCTAGGTCACCACGGCGCGACTCTTGTGGTTGCTGAGCGGACACTGCTCCTATGGCGGCACGTGACATGGAGGCTGCAGTTGAGCGGACATGTCTTGACAGTGCTCTTAACGACGAAGAAGAGTGGTACGTACGGAGAAGACCTAATTGTGTCATCGTTACGTCCAATAGTCCATTAGTTGGTGAAGATCAGTTTGGCAAAAAAATTACTGGATCTCGCGAGTCTTAGTCGATTGCTCCACCATTTGCCTCCATCAGAAACCATTAAAAAAAACACTCAAAGTGAACGGAACCTAAAAAGGAACCAACAGAAGCCACGGAAAAGAATATAGAAAGACGGAACCGAAAAAAGAAAAGAAAATAGACCAACAAAAAAAAAAAAAAAACAGAACCACACAAAGAAACGAAACCAGAGAACAACTGCGACGAAAAAAATAAGAAAGACAGATAGAAAAAAAAATAGAAACCAATTAAAGAACTCAACGTGTTGATGTTAGAACTTAAAATATATTATAGAGATATTTATGTTTTTATATTTACTTGACGGCAAGTTGTCTGCTATCCTACAAATCCATCACGCACCTCCCTCCTCCGTCCGATTTTTTCCAACTCTTGGTATTCGCTGTCCATCCATCCGTCCGTTCCGTCCGTCAGTCTTCTTCCTTGGCTTCTCCCTCCAATCCCAGTTGCCCACCTACCTTCGTGTTCGCCGGCCGTCTAGCTAGCTAGCTAGCTGGGCTTTGGTTCGCGCCATTGCCGAGGAGGTCCAGCCGGCAACCAAGTTCGTTGCGATACGTGAAGCGAACGGGGAGGGAGCGAGCAGGAGGCGGTGAGCAAGCTGGGGGCGAATCCCAAGAGCAGAAAGGGCGCACCAGTGAATCTGAGGTCGACGTAGGAGGCGCCGGTGACTGTGGCTGCAGCTGGCGGTGGTGGAGGGAATGGCGGCAAGGTGCCGGCGGAGGAGGTATGGGCGGTGCGGCCCCGCGGGATGCTCGTGCAGAAGAGAGGGCGGCGGCGGGGGCGCGGGCAACCACGAGCGGTCGCCCAACATGAAGCCAGTGCCCACCATCCGGGTCAGCGTCAAGCACGCCGGCGTCACACACGAAATCTACATCAGCTCAGCCGTTCGCCTTGTTTGTCATGTCCACTCGTCCGATGGGGAGGAACGGTGACTGACCTGCTGAGGAGATATACCCTTACGTTTTTGGGAGTATTTCATTTTATTATATACTGCATAGTAAAATCGAGTCTTAATTGGAACAGAATTAGAGTCACCAACAAACAAGGCGCGAAAAGGGGGAAAAAACATACTGACACAAACACACGGATTGCCTCCTATCCGCAGGGTGCCGGGGTCGGCATCCACTCCCGTTCCCTATGGACTCAATGAAACCAAACCAGAATACCGGATAATCAGAACTTATCTGGAGCTGAGTAAAAAACGGCCCCCAAAAAAGAACAAAATCTAAACACTTCATGATTTAATATTTAGAAGAAGGATAAAAAGCTAAAAACCTATAGTACTATATATTAATTATTTTATTATTTTTGTTTATCTATCTCTACAACTAAAACATTCATAACTATTCCGTCCACAGATGCGACACCAAAGCCGCTCCATGCAATCAGATCGGGAAGGCAACGCGCACTCGCTCCATGCGATCAGCTCAATCCCCATAACAACCGCAGCAAATCAGGAAGGCAAAAATCAATTACCATAACAATCGTGATCAATTCCCAGCAAATCAGGAAGGAAAAAATCAATTCCCATAACAATCGTGATCAATTTCGCGATCACCCCACGCCACCAATTTTCTGAGGATGTTTATGAAACTAGAATACCTGTTTGATGCGACTAAATCATTTTAGCTATATCACGGGTCGACAAAAAATTATGGATGCAGAGAATTTCTATGCATTTTTTGTTGCATGGCTTCTTTGGCAGTTTGTCATGTTGCAAGACCTAGCTATTTTGTTCTTTGCCGTGGTTTTGTTAACATGCATTCAAGTCATTTTCAAGAGATTTGACTATGAGATCCTGACTATGTTGGTTGGCCGTCATAGATTACTTTGATGGGTTGAGTAGCTCTTTGTATGGCACTTCTGCAACATGTTTCTTGTCAGTGGTGGCTTTCTTGCCAGCTATGGCTGCAATTTTGCAGCTGAGATCATAAAATAGAAGTAAAACATGTTTGCTAATTGGATTAGGAAGAGTTTTCAAGATATTACTACTCATCATAATCACTGGATGTTACCACTGTCACATATTGGTACGGCATGGCCGCACCAACACGAGGTGGAAGATGAATAAAATAATATGAAGGATAGATCAGTACTATTCTTTGTATGAGATGAATTTTTTGTAATACCATCGTCTCTAACTTTACTGAAATATAATATAGGAAAGTTGCATTGAGAGTACTACCCTTTTATTAGGTATTGGCTTATAGATTTTTTTACTGGTTATGGTATAGAAGAGATGAGTATATATTTCAATGGTTTAAGGCATTTTCTTAAGGTGATTGATGGTTCCATTATAGAGATTGTTGAAGAAAAGCTGAGAAATCTAGTGAAATGCTGCAATCACATAAAAAAATAACACTCACAGGCTAATATGCGTAATTAAACTTAAAATTACTGTGATATTATTTTATTCCGGTTGCAACGCACGGACATGATACTATACTATATATATATAAAAAGACAAAAATGTCACGTACACGACCTTACGCGGGGAAGGGGAAACGGAAAAAAAAAGAAACTGGAAAAGAACATGCGGACGGGAACGTCTTTAAAAAAACGCTCCAAATTTCAATTAGGATTCCTATTATTATATTAATATATATTAGAATTGGATTTCGTATCATTGCTGAACGCGAGTTGTTTTAGCACATATGAACACGGACCTAATATGTTTTAGAATCGGACTCCGTATCGCGCTAAATACGAGTTATTTTAACTTGTGCGAGCACGTGTTATTATATATATGTCCAGAGAGAAGAAACTCCATTGTCCGGTAGTTAGAGGGAGACGGACAAAAAAAAAGAATGGACGAAAACAATAGGCTCAAATTTTAACTCTTTATTATTAGGTATAAATATAGATATAGATATATATATCAGTTTTCTTGCTTTTAAGTATTTTATATTATTTATACAGAGTAGATAGGAATTTACGCTTTGCTTCTAGAACGAGACATCTAAATTCCAAGTCAAAAACCGTGAGTTTGACTCCGTGAGAGTGAGAGTCAGCGTTACGATCGGACTTATGAGTGTAAGGAAAATCCACTCAAAGACATCACTACCATGGGACTTCTTAAGGTATGCTCTCTCCAATCATAAAAATGTGTGTTACCGGAAAATTAGGATGAAAATTGGTAAAATATTAAAACACAAAAACATTAATATAATCTAGTTGTTACAAATTCTAGGACAACTTTAATGGATATTCGCTATGCAAGGGGCAAAGCTAGACACGTCGTCAGTGTTTGCTAGCCAAAAATACTTCAGCATGTGAAACCTCTAGCATTTGCTAAGTTGAGCTCCTGACAAATAAAAACAGTGTGCGACCAACACTTTCCGGCTTCTCTTCGCGCGGACTGGGTACAACTATTTTCTGACACACTATAGCTTTTCTCTAGTTTTTTTTGGAAAAGATATAGCTTTTCTCTAGTTGGCAAGGGTGCCCAAATAGTCCACCGGTGCAAACGCGCACCACCGTAGCGCTAGGCCTCCAATGCTTGGCACATGTTATTCTCGTTCCTCTCCTCCTAGCACCATCTTGGCAACAATCATTAGAGATGCCCTTAGTAGAATATTCAGGTCTCGAATTCAACTTCCCATAAAAGTGAATTAGATATAGATTTATTTTGCAATATATGCATCAATTTATATTAAAAATACTTACCGAATCTCATACATTCTAAGGATTGCAAAGTCAAAGGTTATAAGTGGTTTTTTATCAAAGGTAGTACGTAGAGTCAAAGGTTATAGGTATTTTTGACCAAAGGTAGTATATAGAAGCAATTTTGACTTCCATAATTCCATAGGAAATACCCTATTTGTGCATTCTCAAATTGATTTGCATGGTACTTCCTTCATTTCAAATTATGACACATTTTAGTTATTCTAGATACATAACTTTTGCTATGCACTTAAACACTATGTATAGATATATAGTAAAAATAATATTTCTAAAAAAAATAAACATCTTATAATTTGGACCAGAGGGAGGACATGCTGTGTCCGCTCTAAACTAAAAAATGTCTAAGTTTTGCTCAACGTTCAACTTGCATAACTTTCACAAAACAATAAAACTAGACTAGAACAAAACTGAAATATTTTACAAATTAGAATAATATAGACATTATTTATCTCCAAATCTTATGTTCAAATGCCCTAGGAGCACAAAAGATGGCTCCCCTTCCCACCAACTAGTAGCGCACGTTCCTCGTGCCCCTCCTAACACGTCAATGTCTTGACTCCTGTACGTGTTTTTCTCCAAAACATATGTTTTTTTATTCACAAATCTCCATGTCTATTTATTTATCTTCTTGAATTTGTGTAGCGTGGAACCTTAAAATCATGGTTATTAAACATAAAAGGAATACATTTGACCTTTAAAAAAAATGCAATGGTGTCCATGGTACACACAAGAACATATATTATTAACAAGTTATGTATACAAA